AACGTGTCCTCAGGGAGGATCCCAGCCCTGCAGCATAGTTGCTGTTGATTACCACATTCAACTGTGCAGGCTTCCATTCAAGTGCCGTATCACATGCCATCACTGAAATTCAGGATTAACTGCACACATCTTTCATCGCGATCACGAATCCACTTGGCAGGTGCATCAAGAATGACCCCTCTCTTACGGCTAGACTTGCAGAACCTGACTGGTGGCCATCAGGGCCCCATGGGCACCAACAAGGATGAAACTCAGGGTAACGATCGGCAAAACAAACTGCTTTGTATCTTATATTGCTGTCTTTTGTGGCAGGGAGCAACGCTACCATGCCTAACCAGGCCTGGAAACACAATGGTTGTGCAGCGTCATCGGGGGTGGCTACGTTCCTCAGTTCGACTTTAATGCACAACAAACCAGATGCAGTGACTCAATAGCCCATGCTGTGGGCAGTAATAGACAATAATTAAAGAAAATTAAGGATACCTTCATCTCTGCATATGTTTTGGTTGGGGCCACTGGATGCAAGTATTTTCTATTACCTGTGAATTGCTAGATCCCTTGCATTTCTCTGGCTTGAGGAATTCAGTGTTGTGGGGCACAGGGCTCCCATGGCAGCAGTCCAGGCCGTGACCAGTTGAGATGGAGAGCAATTTTGGCCATTGTATTGATGCGGAAGATATTCTTATTGGACGTAAAAGTTCGTGCTGCACTTGCTAGGGAGGCAGCAGTGATCAAGCGATGTCCTTGTAACCTTCCCTAGGGTCCCGGGTTGTCGCATCTTTGCACAGCGTGACGTGTCAGTGCGCCAAGTGAGAGTACGTGGTGGATTCAAGATAGCACAGCCTGGCAAGGGGCCAGCCACGGATCTTGAAACCGTGGATCTTGGATCTTGAGCCAGGTTCCGAGGTTTTGGGTTTCGACTGCCACGACCCACAAAAGCACCTCCTCAACGTCCCTTCCCCACATTGCCAGTCGTCGTGCGGCACCCTCACAGGTCCTGGACCCGAATCCGGGTTCTCTTTGTGACTGAAGCCACAGGCGACCACAAGCAAGCAACCCCGCAATGCGCCTCTCGCAGTCAATCGCCCCTCACCGTCAATCGGAGCCGTTCCTTGCTGGCCGCCCTCCGCTCCCCCCTGGCCTTCCTGCCCCTTCCACCCTCCGAGCTCCTCTCTGCGCAATCGGCGACCACACAACGCATATTCGGCACAGGTCCCAGGAACGCATTCACCAAGGACACCGGTTTGCTTGCTCCGTCAACCCCGGCTGCCGTGAACGACAAAGCCCTCCAGCCGGAGCTTGGGGCCAGGAGCCCAGTAGCCATTGGCCGCCAGGCAAGGCGCGGTTTCCTGCCTCCAAGGCGACGGCTTCTCCAGATCTTGCCACACGCCATCTCTACGGCATTTCACCGGTCTGACGCATCGTCCAGCGCGATCGCGCCCCAGTCGCAAGAAAGAGTCTCCGCGTCTGAACCAGCTTCGATGCGTGGAACCTATGGTGAATGCAACCGCATCGCACGGCATTCATGTCGCACAGTCCATGCACGCATCGACCGCAGCGACGCCCCCCTTTGGCCGCCCTTTGATCCCTTCCCCTCCGCTCTCCCAATTCCCTTCCCGCCCGGTCGACGACCACACCACAGATTCGGCACAGCTTCCCGCAAGGCGCGTTGACCCACGACAATGCGCTCTCTGTGCTCCGCTGCACCTGGCTTCCTTGAACACCGGGCCAAGACGACGGCCGCCAACGATTACCGCACCTCAATGGCCCTGCGCCTCTTCGCCACACTGGCGAAGCGCGATCGCGTCCCAGTTGCAGGTAACCGCCTCTGGCCCACCTTCGATTCGTTCGACAGATGGCGCGTGCACGGCAGTCGTGTCCCCACAGAACACGCAACGGCAATCGGACCTGCGCCTCCTCGATCTCCCCTTCTGGTCTCTTGTCCTCCGCTCCCCCAAGCCCCTTCCCCGGCGGTCGACGACCACACACCACAGATTCACCACAGGTTCCCTCAAGCCCAAACCCTCCGATCAAATTCTCTAGCCGGAGCCCAAATTTCGGTTTTCTGTGGCGACAGGATGTGCGCGGCCTGCCTTGTGTGTGCCATGCGGGGGGATCGGACGGCCTCTCTCGTCCGAAGCTTGCCACTCTCCGCCGGGGCTTGCTCGTCCTTCGCTCAAGGAGCAACAAGGCGGCGACGTGCAACTGGGCCTGAGGGTGGGCAGATGGTTCGATGCTTTGAATGGTGAATATTTCTTTCTGCGACAGTGGACTGTTCTTTTTTGCGACAGTGGCCCAGTTGTTCCATTCTGCGACAGTGGCCATGACTAAACAATGGCTTGGGAAGCCAAGCACGCCCTGAATCGGCTGCCCGGCGGTCTCAGCCCAGCGAGGGGGCGTCCTGCTCGTCCACGGTGGTCCTTGTCCCATGTCAAGACAGCGCCCCCAAGGGCTGAAGGCTGTGCCTGAGTGGGCCCTGCGCTAGGCAGAAAGCTGTGTTGTGCCCATTCGCTACTCAGTTTGTGCAGGCCTACACACTCTAGGGTGCGCACACACAATGGCGGTGGCGCCAACACCGCCAGCAGGAAGGCCACGTTAGCCAGTCAAAAGCGCTCGGCGCCAGCGCTCGTCACTTGATGGACGATGAAGGGCCCAGCAACCGAAGCCATGTCTCCCACCGCGTCCCCAAGTTTGTGTCCCTAGCTGGGGACAGTGGACGCGTGCAACCCCATCACTCCAGCCCTGTACTTCCAAAGCTGCCCACCCGATCTCCCACCTCCCTTGGATGGACCCCACCCCTTGAGGCCATCTCGGATGGTCATTGCCGATCTGCGCACGGCAGCCCCTGTTCGGCCTGTGGACGCAGCTGCCGTCCTTCTGACCCGCGTTAATGGCAGGCGAGGGGACGGCCGGCGCCTTGCAAAGCTCGCGTTTGCATCAGTTTCAGCCAATTCGGTTGAATCTCCTTGCTAGATGGCGCAGCAGCCCAATCGGTTATCAAGGGGGACCCTGGTCGTCCCCTAGCACTCCCCTTTGGCCTTATGGCCCTGTTCTCGGAATAACACCACCGCCAACCGAAGGTCTCGAAGTGCACGAAGCGTCGGCCAGACGGCTGCAAGTCACCCATTTGGCAGCGGCACTGTCGCAAAAACGAACAACCGCGCCACTGTCGCAAAAAGGAACAGTTCGGGCGTTGCCGCAGAAATGAACATTGATGTGGCAATAACGAGCGACACTGTCGCAAAAAAGAACATGTCGCAAGAAAGAGCAATTTCACTGTCGCAAAAAAGGTAGTAACCGCTTTGAATAGAGAATTCAGGTGTCGTTAAAGGGGAACGTCGCCCCATTCAACCCTGAGTATCCATCATCGCACGCCGCATCTTTTGAATGACAATGCAATGACTAGGACGTTCCCTGTCCTAGTCCAAAAGCGCCTGGTCCCTGGGGCCCGATCTGACGGCAAGCCAGCAAGCGAGAAAGCGAAGGCCGCTGGCCACGTGGCATCGCACGTGACATCGTGACACGACCACGTGACATCAGCGCCAAGAGCGGCAGCCCAGCCCCACTCAACACAAATAAAACACAAATAAAAAATACTTCCGTATAATAAGTGAATTATCAGAGGTGTTGTGCTTGTGGGACAGGCGATGCGACGCTGCAGCGCCGGCCCTTGCACACAGTGGCCGTGCCAGCAGCAGCTCAGCGCCCCAGCTCAAGAGGCCTGCCAACAGCCTGCTGGTATTCATGAGGTCGCCGGGGGTGTTTGCTCTGTGAAGCGCGTCTTGTCTCCCTAGCTTTTTGTCGGGAATGTGACTTGCGTGGCTGCTCTGCTCCACTTCGCAAACCCGATCAGGCAGTTCCATCGCTATCTGTTCGATTCAGCTCTGTCCTGTGGCCACCCTGCCATGTGCTGTGCTCCATTCCATCGCTGTTTGCTGCCAGAGTGTCAGCACTGCGAAGTGTCGTGTGCGTTTGGGTGCCACTGCAAATAGCGTTCGTCGAAGTCGAATGTTGTCCGGCGGCCGCTGAGGACTGCGCCCTCGCGAGACGAGAGCTTGCTGAGGGATCACGTGGCAGCGCCAGCGGCGGGGTATTGTTTGCAAGGGCTTTACGGCATTGAGCCTTTTTATTTTGCGGTATCAATTGGTGGTTTGCGCAGTTGAGCTGCTGACAGGATAAGGCTTCAGGGAGAACAGCATGGCCTGTGGGCGCATAGAGACGTTGAGCTTACAGTGGCTCGCTCATGGGCAAGCAATGAAAATCAGGAATATTTAAAAAGCGCGCAAAATTTGAAAGGCATGTGCAATGCCAAAAAGCATCTACACGTGTACTGGAACCAACGGCACGTTCCGAGAATGCCAAAGCAGTTTAGGGAAACACCTGAGAATCCCTTCACCATGAATCTGGTCACAAGAAGCGTTTGCAGAAGGGCATCACGCAAGCAAAAGACATCATCATGAAATACGGCAGGCGGAGCCTTGCATTAACGTACGGCAACTAAAGCACTCCAAAAATTGATCATTACACGCCAGTTTCTTTGTCCTCGAGTGTTTTAGCTGCCCTCTCACATCAGCCCATTTCCAATTCCACATGGACGAGCTGCAGGCACATCCCACCATCATCTTCTCAGATTCAGCGTTTAATTCCATCCATCGTGATCAGGGCTCCAAGCCTCAATTTCATATTCGCCCCATCCGAACCCATCACACCAGCTCACCTTCCACCCCAACTACCCAGGGGCGGGGTGGCTCGCGTGCTAGAACAGTCGACTTTCTCACCACAGGTCACGGGACTGATGCCCGCCCGAATCAAATGTTTCCACTCTCTTCAATGGTTCCACTTCGATTTGCTGTAAAGGTGCATAGGGTATACACACGGCAACACAACGATGGATCCATTCTGGACGTCTACATTGCTGTACAGTAGCACAGCCGCTTCCCCCTGGAGCCGCACGGAACTAAGTGACAATACCCCCACTAATCCTCGACTCGAAATCCACTCTATTTCTTGAGGCCCTGCCCAAACACGACGAAAATGATGGACAGCCCCATGTAGGCCATCAAGTACTTCAACATGTGTTGCCTCAGGACTTTGAAAGATGTCAACGTGGTGGGAACACATTCCACAGACGCCCTTTCCAGGTGACTCTTCCCTGACAGCCCCTGGCTATTGGACCTCGTGAAAATGCCATAAACATCGCCAGCCGTCACACATCTTGTATAGATGGGACTCCTCGGCTCTTTGAACTGGTACAGCGTGTGGACATCCCAGCTGTCGGTCCTGAAGCTGTAGTCCAAGTACACATCGGATCCATCTGCCAGGGTGTCTGCCAGGTGCACCCTGTTGTCTCCAGAGTTTGCTGCCATTTGCACCAACAACATGGCAGCCACATCCCGAGAAATTCTATCTGGAAATGATGCAACCAGGTGGTCCGCAACGCTTGCATCCAGCACCTGGCCATCTCTGCACATGATCTCAAATGCACTCTTAACACTTCCCATTGTCACGTCCTCCACAAAAGTTTCCACTGAAGTCACACCACGCTGCTTCATTTTAAAATCCTTGTACTTTCTTGAAGCGCTGGCCCTGAATGCGGCACACATGGTTGCTCTCATAAATAAGAAGATCCTGAGGTGCCCCTCATGCATGCTTGGACAGCCCTCAATAATGTCCATGATTTGCTCGGCCATGTCAACTGTCTTCTCGCTCATGTTGTGCCATCCTCCAATGCTCCTCACGATTTTCGTATATTCCTTGACACGTCTGTGGAATTCTCCACCAGTCAGATCTGCTTCAGTCATCAGCCCGTCATCAGCAATGTCATACAAAAGTCTATTTCTCTTACCGCCCCAGTTGCTGTGCTCAACAATGGAATGCACCCGTTCAATACGCATTCTTTCGACCCTCCAATTGAAATGCACCAAAATGAAGGACGTGCTCCTCGAGCCACCGATGATCGGTATGGTAATGACATCCGTCTGGCAGTTGCCCCTGCATTTCGACTGTACTTCCTCAATGTCCTCGGAAAGAGGAGGTATGGCACCAATTATGCTTGAGAGCAATGGTGCCAGTACTGAGGACAACAACGGATAGACGTTCTTTGTTTTGAGAAACAGGACCACCCCATATGTCCAGACGAGTGCAGTGACTGCAGAGTATATGGCAATTTTGTACCACGCATTCAGCAATTTGATCAGACGCACTCTTGAGCCGTTGTCACTGTCCCACTTCGCCACATCTCTCCTGTATTTGAACCTTTCACTCTCATACCCAAGCGGATACAGCCACATGGCGACTACAGTGGCCAATATTGGTGCTGGCCCTGTGATGTGCACTACATTCAGAGTGTCACTGTCTTCTCCATCTACGCTAAGCCCCAGCAGCCCAATCTGAGCCGTGGCAAGTGCAATTAAAACCCACAACGTGAAAGGAATTGCCATTTGGTCTGTTTTTGCCCTCCATTTCATCTTGTACCTCCCCATGGCTGTCACCAGGCCAAAATACAGTGCTTGAGACCCTACCAAAATCCCTTGTGGTGCCCGCACCACTGGCGAAGTGGTTTCGCTTATGGCCTGCCCCATAGTTGGCACTATACCAACGCCCCCTATGAAAGCCCTGACAAATAGAGTCCCCAGGCTTTTGAGTCTCCCTGTGGTCCTTGCACTGGTGCACGACACCTCGCCACAGGTTGCACTTGTGTCGCTGCCTGGTGCCCTCGACAGGGAATGATGCTTCCCACCCTGGCCAAGTCCCCGGCAGTCCAAGTCCCCTATATTGGGGTAACCCTTGTGCTTGGTCAACCAGCAGCGCATGATGCAGAGCAACAGCACCACAGCAAGGATGCCATCCATGGTGTAGAACAGGAAGTTAAATGTCGCCTTCAGCTTCGGGTCCCTGTCAGAGCCGCTGTTGCCTGTGGTGTGCAGCGTTGATGAGAATGCCCTGTCAAGCACCAGTGTGCAAGGGAGTCGGTCACCAGAAACACCACCCCATGCTTGTTCCATCCAATCCTTCAGTTGCTGGCTGTGAAAAGTGCTTCAGTTGAGACATGCTCGATGGCCACTCAGTGGGAACAAATTTGTGTGATCGCAGCTGTGCAACATGGGGCAGCTGGTGCCAGCATGATGGCAACTGCACGAGTGGCAAGTGCCACTGGTGATAATGGCACCAAAAGCACAGCCTGGGTATCATAATTTGGTCCACATTAAGCACTTCTTACAGCCCCGCAACACAATACTCCTCAAACATGTGTAACATGGCCACTCTTGTAAACAACCAGAGTGAAAGGGAGATCGCTTTGATCGTGTGCAGGTCACCACAAGCACCCACCATTACATTATGCATGCTGACAAGGTTCTTGCTGTGCAAGTGTAACCAAACCCATGGGTTAATGCATGCATAGAGCAGGTCCCAGCAGAATGGCGCACTGGTAAATTGTCTGGTGTGCATTTTCAAACTTGTGGAAAGAGGCACAGCCCATCTGCAAACCACTGCAAAGGCCATCGTACCATACCAGTGACCAAGCAACTCTGCCATTCAATAGCCAAGGGCCCATACAATTTTTCACACAAATCTTGAACATCTGCATGAGGGTGCCCTACCCAGTGCCACAGTTGACAGTTTACCCCCATCTTGAACACGATTGTGTGGCCAGTACTGACAGATGACCTTTCCAAACATGTGGGCAAATGGCTATGCACGGGAAGAAGCTGTAAACTGCACTGGAGTCAACACAACAAAGAGCAGCACAGGGGGGACATGGTGGCAACAGCATGCACATTTTTTCCGCTGCGCAGCAATAGTGAACACAGATAAAACAATGAGTAAAACAGGTCACAAAGCAAAAATTGGTGACAACAAGCAAAAGCAGATCACAAAAGCAGGAGAGCAACAAAAGAGGCGTCAAGATTACTCACCTGGCGGCAACGCAGGCTGAGGACGCGACGGCGAGCGCCGTGAGCCCAATCTCCGGCATGTTCTTGCACCTTCGGCGAGCCTCAGCGGCGAACTGCCACGGCATCGCGAACACCCGCCAGCCGCACGCCCAAGCCAGCCCGCCGCGACGCACAGCGGCCCGGCGCTCAAGAATCCCGTCCAAGCGCGACGCGCCCGGTCAAGGATCAGAACAGAACACCAGGGGGCCCACAGCAGTCACCTGCGCACATCAAGCAGCTGCGCGTGAGCAGCGCACGAACAACTCCGACAACATCAAGCGCCACTCAAGGGAAACACTGGACAAGTATTGCAAAGAACTCAGTCTTACACTACTATTTTCCAAAACAGATTTCATGGGCTGATAGCCAAGGGCTGTCGCATCATTCACGGTAGGATAGGCACCTCGACTGGGCGACTGGGGGATGCCCGACGCCGGCACGTTCGACAGGGCCGCCGTTGCCGTCGGAGGGCAGAGCACAATACACGGCAAGTGGTGCCCTCGGCATGCCCGTACAACATATTCCTGTGGGTTCTTTGGCTCGTTGGCGCATGTTTCGAGGACAATGCAGGCTCTGATGAGCCCAGCTCGGGCCGCCCCAGCCCAGCAAGCCTGGGGTGCTCGTGCCTCCTGGCGCAGCTGACCAATCCCCTTGTTGCAATTTGCCCCCGAAAGACAGACCAGGGGGGGTCTTGCACCTCGCAGGCAGTGGCGCCGTGCCCAGCTGCCAAGCCCCTTAGCCAAAATTTGCCTAGGAAAGACGAGGCGGGGGCCTTTGCACCCTGCAGGCGATGACACCGTGCGCAGCTGCCAAGCCCCTTGGTCAAAGCTCGCCTTGGAGAGACCAACCGGGGGCCTTTGCGCCTTACGAGGTATGTGGCCGGCCGCAACAGCGAGGAGCGCCCAGCCGGCGGCGAACCGCGTGGGAAGCAGGTGGGGAAGGCAAACCAGGGGCTTCGGACCTCGCAGGAGACGGCACCGCGTGCAGCTGCGAGATCCCTCCTTCAAAATCCGCCTTGGAGCGACAAAGAGAGGTCCTCGCCCCTTACAAGGTACATGGCTGGCCGCAGCCGCGTGGAGCGCCCAGCCGGCGGCGAACCGCGTGGGAAGCAGGTGGCTGCGGGCACACCGGGGGGCGTCGCACCTTGCGGGCGATCACACTGTGCGCAGCTGCCAATTCCCTCCTTCAAATACGCCTTGCAGCGACAAAGAGAGGCCTTTGCACCCTGCAAGGTATGTGACCGGCCGCGGCCGCGATGAGCGGCTAGCTGGTGCGAACCGCGCGGGAAGGGGGCGGGGGAAGGCGCCTGGCTGCCCCGGGGCCCCAGGGGACCCCGCTCACCTCCGCGTCGCAAGTACTGGGCGCCGGCTGCTGGCGGTTTCGGCGGCGTCCTTAGGCCCGGCGTTCGTTGCGCGGCGCGGGCGGAAAGTGGGCCATGCGCCAGCTTCTGCTTGGGCAGCAGCATGGGGCGAGCAAGTGGGAGGCGGCGGCCATACTTTGATGCGTGGCGGTGGGGGCGCTGTTTGGCGAACCTTGGACAGCGTTGATGTGGCAGTGACTGGCGCAGGGTTTCAGCAGGAAAGCACAGAGGATGACTGAACCAGGGATTGAACCAAGTACAACTCGCCCTGCCCCCCGCCTGGTAGTACATTAGCTCTTCACTGCAAGTTCGTTACATTTCGCCCTCTACAACGGCTGTCCGGTACATTGTCCGCCCTTTCCCCGCCGCCCCCCCGCCTGCCCGCTACATCACCCGCCCTTTCCCCGGGGCCCCCGTCCTGCCCGTTACATCATCCGCCCGTTCCAGGGCCCCCTGTCCTGCCCGCTACATCATCCGCCCTTTTCCCGCCCCCCCGCCCGCTACATCACCCGCCCTTTCCCGGGGAGGCCCGTCCTGCCCGCTACATCATCCGCCCGTCCCCGGCCCCCCCCCCCCCTCCTGCCCGCTGCATCATCCGCCCTTTTCCAACGATCGTGGTCCACATGCGTCACACAGCGATCGTGGGTCAGACAGCGGAATGGGGGGAGGGGGCCAGCGCGCCATCGCTGCACGCCCGCCTTCGTCTCCTCCCACCAAAACACGTTCAGGCGCGCCAGCGAACCACTGCTACCTGCGATCGAGGTCGACCTGTTCGCGCCGTTGACCTGCGCAACACACCAACACAGTCAGCAACATGGGTGGCGATTGGGTCAAGTGGTCGCAGCGCGAATGGGATCGAGCGCTGCAGCGCGAAGAAGCAGGCGAGATGGACGATCTGGGCTACTATCTGCCCTCCCAACCGCTCCGAAGCCAAGCTTGGCTCGCTGGACAGTTGGATCGCAACGATGGAACCGACTCGGAATGCGAGTATCTGGCGCTGACCCAAGCATGTGAGGAGGCGGAACAGGCACGGGAACATGCGCAGGCGCATGCTAACAACACTGTACTCGCGCAAGCTGCCAACGAGCTGGAACAAGTGCAAGCGCAGCAGCAGGTGCAGCTACAGGCGCAGGCGCAGTAGGTGCAGCTGCAGGCGCAGCAGGTGCAGGGAGCGCAGCAGCAGAGGCAGCTGCAGCTGCAGCTGCAGGCGCAGGCGATTGGTGCTGACAACAATCCACTGGCAGAAGTTGCAGCCGACGACAGAGCCCTGATGCAAGCTGTCGAGCAGGCAGAGAATGCGCGCGCTGTGGAGGCCGACGACAACGCATTGATACAGGCATTGGAGCATATTGACAAGCACGACTCACCGGTGGTCGACGGTGGCCTCCATCAGAACATCGAGGAGGTAGACGACGAAGAGAACGAAGCGTTCATGGCGGCCCTGAACGCACAGCAAGGTGTTAGATACTCTGCACACACAGAAGCTACAAACAAGAGACACCTTCGCCAGTTTCGAGAGGTCTGCACCCAAATGCGCAACAAGGTCAAGTCAAGATCAAGTCAATTTGGACTTACGTTTGCAGAGTGTTTTGATGGGAAGGAAGCGTTGCATTCTATACTAGTGCCAAAGGTGTTTGCTGCAAGGGTGTCTGCCTGGGTGAAGGAGCACAAAACGAAGGATGGACGCTTTGCAACATTGAAGACGATGATTAACAGGATGGAGCGATTGGAGTCCGCACTCACACAGCAACTCGGACACCTAAAACGGGATGAGTCGCTACCAGACCACGTGCAAAAGTAGCTGCTACGTTATGATGGCATTGTGCTGAAGGACCGGTCTCACCCACACTACGGCCAAGTGTACAACACATTGGATCAATACGGGAAAGATCGTACCAAGGTCCAAGGGACCGAGACCAAAGGGAAGGTCGCGCGTGTGATCACACCCCAAGACATTGAAACTGCATACGCATGTGGACGAGCCGGCCCCAACCCGCAAGGCTACCTAGAAGGGGCTTACCTGGGTTTTAGCTTGGGGTTCGGGGTCCGGACGCAAGACTACCTGCATTGCACCAGAGCATGTTTAGAGTTTAGTACAGTGGTCATCAGTGACAACAAAACATTGCCGAGCATCGATTTCATCACCGCCAAGTTGCCGATGAAAAACTACCAAGGGGGAATAAAAGACAAAGGCGAAGCACCGCGGACAAGGCACTTGATGCCTCAAGGCAACGTAGATCCTTCGCGAGACGCTTACCACCTGCTGAAGAGATACATTGACAAGATTGACGCAAACCCCGAGATGGGTCCGCCAGAGACGCAGAGGTTCTTTTTGAAGCCCAACGAGAAGTGGATGGAGTGCAGCCAGCCCTGGTTCAAGGCAAGGGTGGTGATTGGCAAAGAGACTCTAAGGAGCCATTGGAAGTACCTGTTCAGCCCAGATGGCAAGCCTACAGGACATACGCCCAAGAATGGCCGACGCACTGCTGCTACGAGGACGGCTAACGAACAAATCAACCCTGATGCTCGAAAGAACTATGGTGAGTCACTGAGTCCAATCTATGCCTGTTGTTTCTTACCCCATCTATATCGTACTAACAAACCGTGCTCTGTTTCGTATAGCTAACTGGCGGAAGATCGAGTCGCTGACACCCTACAACGAAGTTTCAGGGAAGCAAATGAAAGATGCTCAAGATGCAGTGCTATCCGTGATGCATGTGCGCACAAGCGGCAGTGAGGCTACCAAAAAACAACAACGCGATTCGGAGGAAGCGTCGAGCCCGGTGCCCGCGTCGAAAGCAAGGAAGATGACAACGGACGATGAACAAACCGAACATTCGGCTGGAACCCATTGGCAGCAAGGTTGGGTCGCAGGAGCACACTATCAGCTGCGTCCCCCTTTCCCCCCTTTCCCCATGGCCGCCGCTGCGTACCCCGCGCACCCTGCATTTGCCCCTTCCCCCACGTACGGCGCCCCCTTCCCTTATGCCCAGACCCCGGCCCTCGCCCATCCCCAGCATTACTACATGCCAATATACCCTCCCAGTTACCCTGCACACCCAACCCCATTGTATGCGCCTCCCCTCCCTTATGCTCATGCCTGTGGTGTAAAGCACAGGGGGTAGTATGTTTCTCTAGTAATTGGGTTACTGGGAGGTTAAAATACAATGAACAATGCGGTTGAATATCTCATATAAAAGTAGAGTCCATTAGGAGCTCATAGGTTCTTGAACCACCTCCATTGGGTTAGCGGTAGAGGAGTTATGGTTAGATATATTACCAGTACTTTAGACTCCATCGCCGGAACCGTATTGGGGGATGAGATACAATCGCATGGGTCCGTATGCTGCATTGTCACGTGATCCGGGCGGAGGCCACCCCCTCAAAGGGGCGACCTCCTGTCAGACTGTAATTCTCCATTCTCTCGCCCACTCCGCGCACCCCGCGGCTGCACCCGCGAGCCGCACGGCGCCGCGCATCCACAGCGCGCCCAGCCGCCCCGCGCCCAGCCATCCGCAGGCCTGGGCCCACACTGCGCACCCCGAAGGAGCGAGCGCCCCGGACAGCCCGCCGGTCATCCGGCGGAGGAGGCCCATCCGGGCCGATTGGGCGCCGCGGCGGGAGCCTCGCCCGCAACAACCGAAAACCACGCCAACAGGGGGCGAACGCCAAGGGTGGACTGCGGTCTCCACGGGGCCCAAAAGGTGGCCACAAAACATGCCACAA